CTTGTCAAGAGCAGAAAGGTTCCCGGCGCTGCTATTAAATAGAGCATATTTAAGCTTATGTTTCGGCTCCAAGAAGGTTTCTAGACTTGGAAAATCTTGTAACAGCTAAGTAGAAGTTATATCATATAAAAGGATGAATAAGATATATAACTAACATTATAGTGTAATAACTCAACATAAAAAATCCCCGTCCCTATCAGTCAAGCTAATTAGATGAACGTCTAATTTTACTTGAGCCTGGGGTTTGACTTACATCGTCTTGGAAGACGCACACGGATTTCTCTGGTTATCATTTATGAAAAAAGTACGTTTTGTAAGCCGAAAAATACGGTATTTCGCCTATTATCATTATCTTTTTTTTATCACGCTGGTTGAAGTTATCTACGGGCTTCTTCAGATAATCATTAATCGAAGTCGACACCCGCTCGCACCCGAGCACCGGGATCGTCATTCTCGCTCCCCATTTACATTCTTCCCTATGGTGGCCGTGGCGGAGATGGCTGTGTAAGCCCAGCCTATTTCTGAAGAGTAGTAAGCAGGATCTATAGAGAAGTATGAGTGGGTGTGGTCGCTAGGCGATTCGGCGCTCCTGACAGTACGTCTCAGATCTTCTTTATGTTGACAGTTGGACTCGAATACATTGGTCTCCACTCCTCACAAATGGCAGAGACATAGGTGAAAAACAGGGAGTAACCTAACTATCTAGCTTGTGGAAATGCATACCAGAAAAAAAGCAATGAGAGAGATAGTAAAGGGGCAAACATGGTGTAGAGCTAAAAGAAGTAGGAAACTGTGGAAATCCGTGATCGCCAACGTCCTTGATTGTCACAGCACATAAAAAAGAATGTTACGCCATCGTTTATTTTAGATTTATGTATCTATATGATTTAATGTGATATCTCCCAGGTTCTTTGTGCATTTCATGCAATAAATATAATTGCTCTAAATCCTTAATTATTGGAGAAAAGCAGATGCTGGAGGATTGGGTGTGCGGGTGGTGTCTTGGATAATGACTTTGAATCGGACTGTTGATTTTCTATTCCTGCTGGCTTCGTTATATTCACGTACGCGCATATACCCTTGCGAAACTTTGAACCCACCTATTCTCCCCCAGCTATATGTTAATTAGTAAGACCTGTATCTTCTTCGTTTATGTGTTGTATCACTTCGCGACGTAGGCGATCATGACACACCAAATCTCCCTCTGACCCTTGTAGCTGTTAATAAGTTTTGTGTTTTTGTTATTTTTTCAGATCCTCTTCTACCATTCATTTACTATAATCCAAGAATTATAGTTTCCTTTGCTCATCTTTCCTCCAATCCGTCCCGTCAGTATCACTAAATCCTTATTATCTACTCACTTCAAATACTTGCAATCTAAAAATATTTTCTCGTTTTAAATAACCAGTAAGGGTTGATAAACCGTAGAAAACGAATATTTCATTCAATCTTGTAATCCCTGTTCCAAATTCCAACGCTATTCAGAACGCAGTATCTTTTAGTTAATTTGATATTCCTCTTCCTTATCGCCAATATGTTAGATTAAAATATAAGACATAATATCTCATTCTACTGTTGTCTTCGTTCCATTCTAGTTTGAAGTGTGAATGCTATATTCTTTGTCGTATCTGGTGTTAGTTAATGTTACTTACTCGATGGTTTCAGTATTTAAAAAAAAAGATTTGGCAGACATTTTATAATCAGGGAACAAAAGAAAGTTTGTTTCATATTAGCATTGCAGACGTAACATCATTTTTCATCTTGAGAAAAATTTAAATTTTCACAGAACTTTTCTTCGCGCTTAAAACTAGTACTTTCTTTATTAGTCAATACTATATCGTTTTCTCTTACTGTTTTAATGTGTATATTCTAACAAATATTTCATAACTGGCTGTTTGAATCCGAACCGTAAAATGGCATCTGTACTTCTCCACGATAAGGTTCATAAATTTATGTCTTTTGAGATCACTGACTGTAATAGTTTTCCAAGCGATAGATCTTTTTGGTTCCGCTTACTGATTTAGTTACTGAAGAGTGAAGTCCAGTAAAATGACGTCCGGGCGTTTTGACCGTGAGACTATTAAGTTAATTAGTAAATTTAAATTTCCTTTCCTTGCTTTTGCCTGAGATATTTGAAGTCAACAAATAAAGATTTGCAGCAGTGCATAATTTACTTCTTGATATAAACTTTGGCTTGTTTGTTTGTTTGTTTGTTTTTTGACGATAAGGTAAGTAGAGTATTTACAAGTAGAGGACGTCTAAAGCCAATCATCTGAAAAAGTTTAAATTAGGCGGAAGTTATACGTTCCAATCTACAAGAAAATAGAAATTGATTCCTTTTTTCTTTCTTTCTTCATTTTTTTTAGTGGGTTTTGGGTTCAAAAATGGAAGACAATTAGAGGAATCAAGAAAAATTTAATCAAAGCTGAATCAATTTTACTAAGTGTTGACTAATAATACCCAAGTTCTCTCCTCGATCGAATCGGCTTACGGCAAAACACACTAAAACACCGGTTCCCGTATGATCATCGAAGTTAAGCAACGTCGAGCCAGGTCAGTCTCTCGATTGGTGACTGCTTTGTAATACCAAGTGTTGTAAGCTTGGAAGTGCGATTCGTGTATTGGATAATGACGCGGAATTGTCAATCGAAAGCCCGATTTCTAATTCCCGTTGGGTTTCTTATATTCACTTATGCGCAAATACGCTTGGGATAGGCATGAATCCAGCCATTATCCTCCAGCAATGGGTTACTTAGTAAGACGTGTATCACCAAAACAATTATTATGTAAAAAAATTATTACAATCGAAAAATGTTTTCTTGTTTTAACTAACTGCAAAGTGTTGATAAGCCATAGAAAAAAAAATCAATCGAAATGAATTTCTCTTTACCGAAGACGAAGATCAAATCATGCCGGAAACACTAGTTCTCACACAATCACCGGAGCAAAGTAACGGGGAACCACCTATGAATATCGAGTACTATAATCAACTTCCTACAATCCGAAATGTTTTAAGTTTAAATGTCTCATCGAACTTTCAGAATCCGGAAAAATAAAAACAAAAAACCAAATCCTTCTTGCAAATTGCGTCAAGTTGCCTATCAGTAATATATGGAAATGGTAATATTAGCCGTTCCCTTAAAAGAAAATTTCGCCATTCACAGACTAAGTATCCAGTGCTACTTTCGTTTGAAATTCATAAAAAATATTTATTAAAATAATTTTTCAGGAAAATAGGTTTCTCGAGTCCAGTGTTATTGTACTCTTCAGTATTAATGTAGGCTTCATGCATAGCCTTATCTGTTTATTTTCTCTTCGAGTTAAATGCATTAACCATTTTTATTGTTGAGGCAGCTGAAGATGTTAAATGGCGTGTTTCCTGTAATTTGGTACACATTGTTTCTCCTGTCTATGCCACGAGTTCGAGTTCATAATGAAAGTCCTCTTCGTCAAACACAAGCTTCATTCGTTCGAAGCTATTTTTAAGCATTGATTTGAGAAAGCGATTTTATACAACTGACAGATTAGATATTTCAAAACGAGTTAATCAACATGCATAACGTCCATATGAATGTCTCTATTAAAAACGAAAAGTGGGTTCTTTGGTTAATGTTTCGATTTTGTAGCAATTTACACCTATGTGCGTCACTATCCGTAGCACAATATATTCTATGTTGTTTTACTAATTTTTTTTATACTAAATATGGTTTCATCCATATACAGAAGTATCTGAAGTGTTTGGTAATTACTAATCCTATATTCGGAAATTGTACGATGGTTTCAGAATAGATACAATCACTACTTCCATTGCAGATCATAGTTTCTGATTTAGAAATATTTATCTTGAGTTTTATTTCTTACAGAATTTGGTAGATAGAAAATGTTTTTTTTGTTCAAAGTCATTCATATCATATCTATAACAACTTATGTCATCAATATACCCCATGCCCCCCTCAAAATTACATTGTCTTCGTTCCAAAAAGGAGGAGCTCATTTAGTAGATTAGTATCATATATATATATATATATATATATATATATATATATATATATATATAATTAATTATTCACAAATTATAAGATAAATATGATATGTTATAAAATCACTAAAAAAGAGCCATTTTGTTTCAACACTTCTGGTGTCTTATCAAGTGATGGTGTTGAATGTAGAATAAATGTGATAAAGAACAGATGGAATAAAAATTCACTGTTCGTAGCATTTACATATAAAACCTGCTCAATTCAAAGTATGACAATGCATTATTATTATATTTTTATTATCAAAGATTATAACAAACACATTTTGAAATGGCTACACAAAAACGTTCATGTTTCAATACTACTTCAATATATATATATATATATATATATATATATGTAAAATTATTTATTTAAAAATTATAATATAAATGTTATAAAATCACTACAAAAATAACCATTTTGTTTCAACACCTCTGGTGTCTTATCAAGTGATGATGTTGAATGTAGATTGTAGAATAAAAGTTTTAAAAGGCTCAAATTAATTAACTACCCCTCGTAAGGGGAAACTCTGTTACATGAGCTGAAATGACCAATCAAAATACAAGTATACGAGAATTCAAAAAACTTGACAACATCATCACTTGATATATTGAGCACTCTTTTAAGAATAGTAATTGTTGGTTATTGGAATTTATTCCGTATACACCAATCATATACTTTTGTGTATGTATATATATATATATATATATATATATATATATATATATATATATATATATATATATATATATATAGCCTACTAGCCAGTATCCAACTACAAATTGATACCGTAAACAGTTTGAAAAACTCTGTGAATTTTAAAATTAAAATTCGTAGGTAAAAATGGTCATTAAATAAAGGCAATTTTAATTCCAATTGTAAAGAAGTATATATATATATATATATATATATATATATATATATATATATATATATATATATATATATCACGTAGTTAAAAGCCCTCAATAACTTGGTATAAAATCTCATATGAAAAAAAGTATACACGGATTATGTGTTCAATTGAGTACGTAAAGCATGTTCTTATAATTTATTTAGGAGATGAAAACGAGGTCAATATATATAAATTAAAACTTCATATTATGGTAGGAAAGTTGAAGAAACATCTGAACACATGAGAAATTGGAGTAGTTTTTGATTTTTTTAATATAATTTATCCAAACCTGATGATCGTATAAAATTTTCTTATTTGCTTCGTTTGTTTATTTGATTCTCTTCATCCGCCATCTTCTCGACATTTTATTCGACAAACATTTAATGAAATCGCGTTGACATTTATAACCTTTGACTTCACTGAAATCGCAGACAATTTATGAATTTCTATTTTCGTGACGGCTTATTCAAATGAAACGCGCATCGTCACAAATGACTTTTTATTGCACACGACATTAAATATTCATTTTATAAGAGATTTCTTCTGTTTTATTTTTTTAAGCTATTGTTCTTTTTTAAGAGCTGACAAATTATTTTCAAGTTTAATTATTCTGATGCTTACAATTTCAAATTATTCACACTTTCGGATTATTCTCAACCTTCTTCTGCTGACAAAACTGAGATTATTCAATATGATGCAATTTTTTCATGTTTTTCCATTTTTGAATGATTTTCTATGGGAATGACATAGACCATATTGTGTTACAAGAATATTTTAGGAAGTTGGGTTTCATTATTCTCCTCTACGTGCGTGTGACTGAAAAGGGATCCAAGTGTTCGTGAACAAATGCTTGGAAAAGCTTCTTCGTCTTTCTAACTGTTAACAGAAAACCAATGATAATTTAGGTAACAGTTTCAAAAGTCTCGTGTGCCAATAGGAATCCATATTCGCCATTATTTCCTGCCGGAAGATTAGATGGTTTCGCATGTATGAAAGAAATGCGCATGAGTATTTGTTTAATGTAAGACCTCTCCACTCTAGTATTGCTAATAAAAACCAGAAATTTAGTAAGCTTAATAATGCTAGAATGAAAAAATGGCATTACTCCTACTTGTTACGAAATCAAAAAAAATATTAATTAACTAATAAATAAACAAGCACAATTCTTGGTGTCAGGCAATGGTTCTCAAACTCAGGGTAATTATCCTTAATTGGGTAAAAATTGAGTTATGAATTGGATAATGAAGGAATTTTAACACGGGCCCATATTTGTTTTCCGCACCGAATTGACACTTGACAAAAAATTACTGAAAACTAAACATTCTTTAAAAGCGAATTGTCTTCTCAAAATCTTTAAAAAGGAAAACTATTATTGAAGTTCAACGACGAGGAGTTTGAGAGGTAAACGCACCCTCATATATATATATATATATATATATATATATATATATATATATATATATATATATATCGATTCTCCCGTCGCGTTCGACGTATGAGGGTCAAGCAGATCAGTTTCCAGGAAACTGACAGCCCGACACCGGCACATGAGATTCGATTATAAGGTTTCGTGCAGGACCATCCACACTTTTTAAAGGGCCGAATATATTATTATTAATATTATTATTGTTGTTGTTTTTATTTTTTTATCTTATTTTATTGGCTACATGTATTGGACAGGATATTTAATCAATGTTATACGCCGACGATTGCCGGTTCCAAGCCATATCTCAAGTTTGTCCTTTCTCTCTCTCTCTCTCTCTCTCTCTCTCTCTCTCTTTCTCTCTTGTTCTCTTTCTTTCTTTTTTCTCTGCTGTCTTCGTCTCTTTTCACTATACCTATTTGAGTATACCCTCTCTAATTTTCTTCTCACATCCAGTAAATATAGGGCAACGTGTCCGCTCTCATCCCTACAACATTGCATGTATCTCGTTAATCAGACTTATAACTCTCTTTCACCCTTTCTTCTGTTTTCACATTTCTTTTCCCCGTTTTGAATAAATATCACTCTTCTACAGCCTCCATTTTATTCCCCCTTTTTTCTCCCTTCCCCCAATTTTAGTACATATTTTCTGCATATTTCAGAATAATTTATGCTGAGATAAATCTTTTGTGTCTGGTAAAATTATAAATTCATTTTTGTTAAAATGTTTGATCTAATGAGTTAAAACCGAAGTATCGTTTTTAATGAAATTAAATATTACCATGAACTTTTAAAGTCTCCGCTTTCATAATTATTGTTTGCTCTTTTATTATATTGAGCTATCTCTGGATTTATATCCTCTTTGGAATTATCCATACCGATTACCAATTAATATTATATATATATATATATATATATATATATATATATATATATATATATATATATATATATATATATGGCTACTTATACCAATAAGTTGAATTCTCATTGAAATACTTCCCGCCGGATTACTTTAATGGTTCACTGTTTCAACAAGAGAGGGTAAAATTTCCTCCAGACAACTCTCTGACGAACATTCTTTATCCTTCATTACAATCTTTCACTCATTCACTCACCGATAAAATCATTGATCTCATCAAATGGAAAACTTAATTCTGCTTAAACCATAAAGATGAACTGAAGTGCGAAAACGAAACATATAATCTAAAATCCCAAAGCACTCCACCTAATAATAAACTTCTACATCCTGACTAGGTTGAT